CCCCCCCCCCCCCCCCCCCCCCGATGCAGACATGATTTATTATTCAATAAGAAGACAGGTTTTGTTTTCTTTGTGTTATTTATTTCGGTTAAACAGAATAAATGATTTAATAGCAAGATAATACATTGAATGTTTAAAGATACATTATATTTAGTGATCGTAAATATGCCTAGGAAATGCCTTAAACAAGTTCACTGTATATATGTGTAAAAGGTTCGGTGATCTTTGGTCCGTCAGGGTCTTGCAGTCTGATATGTTTGAAGTTCGGCAAATAAACACAGACACCGAAATATAAATGTAGTTAATTAATATGACATGTAAATATTTACGCACAGGGACATGAGTTCAGACCACGCTGTCACACACTCGAGCACACGCACATCAATAACATGGCTCATTTCCAAGTGGTAAAAGGCCTAACTTACTATATATACAGACGGCTACACGGCCATATGCCTATCGAATAGACGACGAAATGAGATACTGAAGGCTGCACGGCCATATATATATATGCCTTTTAAATGGACGACGGCATGGTTCAGACCACGACTCTAAATCTGCTACAAAAATACTACATGGCTACAGAGAAACTACTGCTAGTACTGTGACTGGTGAAATATCTAAACTAACATTATCCTATTGCGTTTGAGAGACCCTTCCTACAGAAGAAAAGAGGTGATCCGAACCAGTCCCGTCAAGACTTTTATTCTGACTGCCGAAGCACACAGGTGTACCGGCTTAAATAGACAAAAACACGACAATTTGCACGTGCAATAGTCGCGCAAAATTACTCGAAACATTTCCGTTGTTGCTATAGAGTTCCGAACAGTATATCAACTTCCGGTATATATCGATCATGACAGTCGTCAAATATAACTCTTTAATGACAAATTTACTAAACTTTTACACTTCTCCCCCGTTAAGACAAAAGTCAAAACTTTTTGTCAAAATGTACACAATTTGTAAACTGATGAAAAGGAAATGTGTCCTGCCGGACCAAACAAAAATACACAGGCCTGGACAACATCAGCTTAATACGAAATTCCACAATGTTTGCACACTGCATTCTCTCGATTAACATACTGTACCTTAAACTCGAACACAAAATAGTAACGCTTGCAATTACACGTTGCATAAACAGACACAATATTTGTGGCAATAACCTCAACAAATTATGAGCACATTAATTAACACATTATGCAATCTTCAAATTTTAACATTAATAGGGATACGTCCCTAGTATCAATTCTTCTAACTTGTTATTAACGAAAATAGTTTAGGTGCTACAAAACTTATCATAATTTAGGATAGATTCCATTACTACATAATAATTCATGAACTCTGTAAATTACAATTTGGCAGTAAATTTGGGACGAAATTCATTACTAAAAAACTTCATGAATCCATACAACAAATTCAGTGGTCATACTTTATTTAGCACCTAAATCTCATAGATGCGAAACACATAAAATACATCGTATATACAAATATTCACACAGTCGGAAAAACAATCAGAATGAGTAGTAAAGTCCACCCCCGGTAACCTATCTTCAGTCACAGTAACACATTTTTCATTCGCAATAAAATGTTATTTCAAGCATTTCCTGGCATTGGCTACAACAGCAATACACAGATGGTATATATCAGAATCTCAGAAACTCTCCAATCACACAAGAGCATACTCTACAGTGCCCAGCAAACTACCTTCTTATAGCCACTTCTTCACCATGCCTCACACTTCAAGCATGGTCAGCCACTGTGTTTTTCCACTCCAAACACTATCTTTGTGACTGATATCTCTATCAAAAGCACAACTATAAGAAAAACAATCGCCAGTATTACATAATAACAATACAATAAAAGTATAAGGAAAATGGATAACAAAACAAACACTTCAATTATCTCGAGCTCTCCGCATTACAGATTCCCTATGTATATCTACACAAACAATATACACAGAATCACCACATAATGGCATACTACACATAGTACCCAGTTTCTATAACTGTAGATCAAAATATATCCAAATTATAAAGTCATTTAAGCTGTACCAGTGCAAGCAAAACAGGGAAAACATCTTTAAAACAAAAGTACATACTTTTTATATCAGAATATGGATCACACTGATCACATTTGTACTTTGTGCAACACAGAATAAATGTTATACAACACTAATCTATCTTTCTGTGGTTTTACATCAAGATTCTATGAACAGTATCTGGTTGAAGACTCGATCATCCTGTCTTAAATCTGACTAACGATGATACATTATTAGTTGTTCTCTGACTAAACTGAAGACAAGTTACACCACGGCATTGAACTGCCCAATACGTAAATACGAGGACCGGAAAGTAGATCCCAGAAGTAAAAGTGATACAGTAAATACATCAAAATATAAAGCTGCCGAATAATGTGATTAAAGATACAAGGCACTTAAATGTGAAATAAAAAGGAATGGGAAATTATATTATTTCCCGTTACTACAAATCTTATCAACGAGGACAGAGACAGAGGCGGCAGAGTACGCGTTATACACGTCTGATTAATGCAAGTCAACACTTACATGTACACCGACGTGCTTACTGCATGTTGAAAGCAGGCAAACATTTACATGTACGTAAATACTTCGTGGCTATAACAAGTACTTACTTGCAAATGCTATTAAAATTAGCATATTAGATATTTGCATCAAAGCAAATCAAACAGTATCTTTCTATGCGTGTTTTGACCTAAAGTTTTATACTGCACACTCAGTTTAAAATCTAAAACAAGAGGCCCAGAGGGCCTGTATCGCTCACCTGGATAAAAAAAGCAAATATGGTAAATACATTCTTATTACATAAAATCCCTACAATAGTACAGAAGAAGAAAGATTTTTAAGATTTAAACATCAAATTTTCCTATTTGGCCTCACAACCTTCAGCACCCAGAGAGGCCTCACCCTTCCTTTATACAAAATTACGTCCCCTTTGTCCAAGGATGCTCCAGACCGAATTAAGATAAAAAAAAAAGATGTAAGGAGAAGAACTTTAAAGGTTAACCTCTATTTGCCCTATTCGGCCCCACCCCTCTGCCCCCAAGGGGGCCACACCCACGGTTTATACAAAATTGAGTCCCCTTGGACCAAGGATACTCCAGACTTAATAAGGATAAAATCCCTTAATCCTTATGGTAGGAGAAGGACTTTAAATATGTTACCTTTATTTCCCCTTTTGGGCCACACCAACCATTTCCGAAATGGGACGAATACTATGTCAAATTAAAAATAATGTCAGTAACTTAAAGTTTGATCTATTAGAATATGCTACATGTGAATGCGGTTTTTGAATTGGAAACTGGTCGTTATTTTTTGTGTCAGACGTACAATGATCGCAGACAATTACTCTCGACATCCTTACTAATATACTCATTCGCACTAAACACTGCATACAATAATCAATGGTTGTAGCAATGTGATGGTGGAAGTTAAAAAGAGCATCTTAGAAATGGTTTCCACCCTTTTCACAAACTTAAGGAGAACTGTCAATGAATTGGTTACAATATACTACTACTTTAAACATGGCTATAACAGTTCAAAGTACATACCTGAAAGAAAATATTGATTAGTCTAAATATGGCTGTTATCAATATCATTATATAGTATGCTCAATCTGAATAAATACAGCTGTTCATTATCACGTACCGGATGATAGCTTTTTTTTCTTTTTTTCTTATTAACATCTGATTTTAATGAGATTGTAGTATGCTCACCCCATACCTCAACATGGACAAGTGCATGAAACAAAATATCAAGAATTAATTAGCTAAGATATAATTGTATAATGTGTTTTAATATAACACAGTTCGCAGTGCGAATATACCCTACAGATACATAGTTAATTGTCTATCAATTTAATATTTCATTAACCACAGGTCACTTTGTGTGGATCTTGAAATCCTAGGGATTACCTATAGTGAATGATGATGGACAATATATGGTCTATTACCCTGATGAGGTAAAGATTCAGCACAGACTGACCTGTAACAGCTAAAAACATTGGAGTTATCTCCCCTATACCATCACTTGAGCATTCAAATCTGTTAATCATACAAATGCAACCCTGCTGCTTCTACAGGAGATAACTGATATAGGCATTACCTGCTGTATGTCTTTTTAAAATGCCATTTTGAATTTTAAAAAAAATGTTGAAAAGAAATGATCTCTGCAGTGGTGTAAAATTATATGGAATTACAACAAAATAATGATTGACCTTCGAAAAATGAGTTGTGTAGCATACAGATACATTGTATGAGTATATTTTCAAACTTGTCATCATTCAATCTCAAGATAAATTAATAGTTTACAAAGATTGGGAGCTTTTCTGGAAACGAAATGCTCTTTGGAGAAAAATACAATGATTTTAATAATAGTTTAAGTCGTAAATTTGCTTTTATCTAGACATAGTTACTATCAAAAACCTTAGAAATATTTCACAGAAGCTTCATGATGGTTTTTAACACGAACATCACCCATCAGACAGAAGATTATTCAGGAGGCACGTATTGAAATAACGTAAAGTAAAGTTCTCTTATGTTACCGAATTTACATCAGATGTCATTTCTGAGTTTTGCGCGTTTGTTAATTACAGCTTTTGTTGAATTGCGATAAGAATTGAGTTCTTTTTTAAATAATGCAAATGAGAAAAATCTTTTTAACAAATCAACGTACATTTCAACCTTTGCTATATATACACGTTTAGTCATGTCAATTAAGGTTCATAGCCATCTTATTTTCCAATGATAAGGGTACTTGTGTTGTGGTGATGTAGGCTACGTCCGGGAACTTTAACAGCGAAGTAGCCATTAGTTTCGTTAAATAATTAGTCGGGTAACTGATTAATCCGCTTATTCCACCTTTTACTGTTTATATTGTCCATTTCATTAACGCTGACATATTCGGTAAAGAGACATCTTGTCCGAGGAATGTCAGAATGTTTGTATTCATATAGTTGGAAGAAGAATCGAAAGTAAAAGAACAATGTATAATATTATTCCGCTAAACCGTACTTTGTCAGTGGTAATTTAAAACTTTAGTTTATTCCCAATAAGTGAGCAAAAACTCATAAATGTTCAATATACTATTGTTTGGAACACTTTCTCTTATTCTATTTCATCTTCATTTTTATCCAATGAACTTTTAGTGTATTTTTCACCATAATAGCCTACATTGTCGAGCGCTCTTATAGTATGCCGGCATAAACTGACAGCAAAGGTCAAACAGGAGTGTAACACTGATCTTAGACGTAATCGTTCGAGTTGATTTTGAAATATTATATATCCTGATTCATTCTTTGTTCACAAAATATACGACTACATGTCAATATACTCGAAGCTTTACACCAAAACTTGCTTAGTATATATTATAAACATAAAATAACATTTATGTAAAATATTCTTCACTGTTTGATCAGAAGCAATGACCCAACGCCATACACAACATCAATTGTTTAGAAAACAGCTATCGCTGACCATCAGTAATAATTGCCAAGATTAAATCTTCCACTGCGTCCTCTGTGCCAATATCACCCGTGGCATTTCCCTGCAGAAATGTATACACATTCCTCCGAAATTCTCTCAATCGTGATTCAAATGAATCTGCTCTGATTCCTGCATCTGTTACCTTTCGTGCTGCCTCCTGAAGTTGTCTTCCTGCCATAGCTACCTTTTTCTGGCTAATTTCTGCTCCTCTCAACGATTCCTCTATTTTTTTACCAGCCTCTTCTACCTTTCTATTGGCACCTTCCAACTTTCTATTAGCCTCTGCTAACTTTCTATTAGCCTGTTCTTTCTCTTTATTAGCCTGTTCTTTCTCTTTATAAGACTCTTCTATCTTTCGTTCAGCCTTTTCTACCTTTATATTGGCCTCTTCTAACTTTCCATTAGTTTCATCCACTTTTTGCATGGCCTCCGTCACCTTTTTTTCCATGTCCACTGTTTTCTTCTTCTCTCTCTCTATTTTCCCATGCAATTCCTCGTCAATCTTCATACACTCTTTATTGCACATTCGGATCATTTCCTTTGTTTGTGTTTCAGCATCGCAAAAGTTACGCAACATCATTACTTGTTCATCCTCCTGCGGAATTGGGTACATCGTAGGCGTAATTTGATTTATGCCTACATTAGATGGCTTCGGTCGTTTAGCTGGTGTGTCCTTCCTACTAGCTTCATTACGGCAAGAGCTAAAATAAAAACAAAAAAATCATAAAAATATCTAAAAGTCATCTGACGTTGCACCTTTTCCTTGTGTTTTGTACTCTAGTTTATATTTTTTAATGACTGTCCACATAGCCTTTATCGCTCACTTGTTAAAAGAAGTGATATCAAGAACGCTTATACTACAGGGTTAGTATCGTTACACCATGGCTTTTGTTTTATTTTTAGCTCGCCTTGCACGAGGTGCCAGTTGAACTTATGGTATGGTGTGTTGTCCGTCGTCCGTCAACTTTTTTTTACTTTAACGACTTTTTAAGTGCAATAAAGTTTCCTCACATAAATGACATTGACTTACACACTTTCAAGTCACAGGGATCAAATATGTGAAAATACCTTTAAACAATTTCTTTTGAATATTCATGAGGCCTAGGGCGATGATAGTTTGCCAGTAGGTACGTCGTATGGAGTGCTATAAAATCTCCCAAAATAAATTATATTGACTTACTTCCAAGGTCAAAGGGGTCAAATATGTAAAAAAAAAGTGTATTATCTCACATTTGTTTCAAACATTTGACCCTTGTGGCCAAAATCGTATTTAATCGGGACGAACTTGATAACCCTTCCAACCAATCAACCGTCCAAATATCGTTATTCTAAACCTTATCTAATTTGAACAAACTTTGTATCTGCTTCATCAAAACAGGATACAGTACAAGTTCCATGTCCTTAGGCCTAATACGTATGCAGATGGTGTTTAAAGAGTCCATCACATTTGACACATGCGACCTTAAATGGGTCAAGGTCATTTATTTAAATAACTTTGTCGCCTATCATCTCCGCATATTACAATTTTTACACTATTACAGAAGACGACGGATCCAGCGCAACAGCATAGCCCTACTTTCTTCTCGTGCAGTTGAACTAAAATATGTTTAGCTATTTGCAACAATTTGTTGTGTTAATTCGGTAAATATAAAATCAAAGTGAGCGGAGGCTCACATAGATATACCCATCCCGCTTTGCCTGGGACTTTCTTTACCTTTTAACCTTCACCAATTACCACTAATATCTAATCAGGATAAGAACTCAAAGTTGTCATACTATAGTGTAAATATAAACCATTGCTGGTTGAGGGGTTCGTGAGATATCTTGTACACACAAGCGTTTTACTTTGTAAAAGATACAATCAAATCGTGGCTTAAATTATTATAGTTTTAAAAGAGAGTTAACATATTATATCTGCTAATTTTAATATTTCAAACACAAAGTTAAGAAAAATTAAAAAAAATAGACTAAATCCGAAGTAGGGACTTCGTGGATGACATGGAGTGTAAAATGAATCACCATCTAATCCCCATTTTAGCAGAAATAGGAATCTGTTTCTAGGTAAAACAGTAACCTACCTTGGAGATGCTGTCACTGCTGTAGAAAAGTCCTTTACGTCCTATGAAGAAATATACATTCTTGTTGCGATTATTCAGTATTGGTGTTGCTTTAGTAGGACAAATATCAATAGCGAATTAATTATACTAACGAAAAGTGGATTTATTAAAACATTTTATTGATGGAAAAACAATCAAAGGGACTGAGCACAAGTTCTTACAACTTACTAAGCCCTCTCCCTTTGATGCCAGCAGATAATTCAATTCAGAAATATATAAACTATAAAGACAATTAAGACTAATAAATGAAGATTTTTACCTCTGTTTTAACTGATCCAAAGGCTTTGTCAATGGCATTCCGTTTTCTGCTAAAGCCTTTCAATGGTTGCTGTTGTTCTATTCTTGGTGTCTGTAAAAGATAAATACATCCACATGAAAAAGGTTTCGGTAATAAAATATTTAATGACCATTAATTCTTATTTGAGAAAGAAAATATACAGTTTGGAGAAGTAGCTTTATGCATTAGATTGTTTAAAGAATGAGAAATAAATAGATGTTCCGAACTGATGATATGACTTGGTGGTAGAATAATAGCATGAAAACAAATAAGAAAAAAACCACGAACTTTAACTGATTCAAACCTATTTCCCGGTTTTTGTTTATTGTCTTTAATAGGCTGACGTCTGTTCTAAAGTTCTTGGCGAATGATATCTAGATTGTTGCTATTGACACCTGTAATCCACATGTGGAAAAATAAGTTAATAAAGAAAAATTAGACATGAAGATAGAAAACACGATTATTTATCGCTTTGTTGAAATTATACATAACGCAACATTATTGACTGAATTGTTTACGCTTCATACCTGTCCTGCTGATTCAAGGAATGACTCCGGTTGATCCATACTTTCATTGACGTTTTGGCTTCTTCTAGGATTGTTTGCCAATGGCTGTTGGATTTGTGCTCTTAAAAGCTGCAAACGGCAATACAGGTACACTTAGTTTGGTTAAGTAGGATTTTATATAAATATGGTCAGATTCATTATATCCCTTTGAAAGAAAAAGATAAATTTTGAACACAACATTAATGACTTATTTACGCAGATAAAAAATATATCTTCATACCTCTCCTGTTAAATTCAGGATGTTCTCCGGTTGATCCATACTTTTATTAACTGTTTTACTCCAGTTAGGGTTGGAACACTAATTACTTATCTGATAATTGATTCAAAGTTTTCTTACGATGGAGAAACACAAGACTATGCGAAGGGTTTATGTTATTTAAAAGAAAAGGATTAAGCAATTGATTAAAAATTCAATTTGAAGGATGCGCAAATATCACTGAAAGATGTATAGCAATTACTTTAACCAAAATCTATTTTGCCGTTTTTTTCTTCTTCAAATAAACTGTGTCTGATGCTCAGATGTAGATTATAGTAGTAGTTCTTGGTACGGCAGTCAAAGAAAACTCTTACATAAAATACACCATCCACGATAGCAATGATTTTAAGACGCTCTTTTCAACAAACAGAAACACAGAAACCTTTCAAATTAATGTATCGTATTTTAAAAGCGGAGTGTTTTCATAGTATACACATAGACATGGGCAATACAATGTACTAGATATATAGGTAGATGTTTGGGCACGACTATAATATGCAATTTCCGAGCTCGATAGGCAATAAACAAAGACAATAAATCGTTTCAAGTATTTACCTCCCGTTGTAATCGTTGTTGGTTCATCTTCCTAAAATGATATTCATGTTAATATTTGAGTATTTGTATCTTAGATGATGAAGAGAAACTATTTTATGTAACCAATAGAACCATTACGTTAATCAACCATTATAACCATTACGTTAATTAACAATTAGAACCATTACGTCAATTGCGATAATAACGTTGAAATAACATTTTCTTTGCTATTTTGAACGTAAAGATAAGGATTTAAATGCGTTTTTTGGTCATTTATGATGGTATGCAGCATAGCTCTGATCAAACAAATTTCTTAATAAGCGCCACGTTATTACCGTAGTGGTTCTTTTGTTATTGGATTGTAAAACAAAACATTTTAGGTGAACTTGATAACCCTTCCAACCAATCAGCCTTCCTATTGTTATTCTAAACCTTTTCTAATTTGAACGAACTTTGTATCTGCTTCATCAAAACAGGATACAGTACAAGTTCCATGTCCTTAAGCCTAGTACTTATGTAGATGACGTTTAAAGAGTCCATCACATTTGACACATACGACCTTTAAAGGGCCAAGGTCATTTATTTAAATAACTTTGTCGACTAGGAGCTAAAATATGTTTAGTTATTTGCAACAATTTGTTGTGTTAATTCGGTAAATATAAAATCAAAGTGAGCGGAGGCTCACATAGATATACCCATCCCGCTTTGCCTGGGACTTTCTTTACCTTTTAACCTTCACCAATAACCGCAAAAATCTAATCAGGCTAAGAACTCAAAGGGTCATACTATAATGTAAATATAAACTTTTGCTGGTTGAGGGGTTCGTGAAATATCTTGTACACACAGGCTTTTTACTTCGTAAAAGATATAATCAAATCGTGGCTTAAATCATTATAGTTTTATAAGAGATTTAACATATTATATCTGCTAATTTTAATATTTCAAACACAAAGTTAAAAAAAATAAAAAATAGACTAAATCCGAAGTAGGGACTTCGTGGATGACCTGGAGTGTAAAAAGAATCACCATCTAATCCCCATTTAAGCAGAAATAGGAATCTGTTTCTAGGTAAAACAGTAACCTACCTTGGAGATGCTGTCACTGCTGAAGAAAAGTCCATTACGTCCTATGAAGAAATATACATTCTTGTTGCGATTATTCAGTATTGGTGTTGCTTTAGTAGGACAAATATCAATAGCGACCTAATTATACTAACGAAAAGTGGATTTATTAAAACATTTTATTGATTGATTATACAACTTTCTAGGCCCTCTCCCTTGGATGCCAGCAGATAATTCAATTCAGAAATAAAAACTATAAAGACAACTAGGACTAATAAATGAAGATTTATACCTCAGTTTTAACTGATCCAAAGGTTTTGTCAATGGCATTCCGTTTTCTGCTAAAGCCCTTCAATGGTTGCTGTTCTATTCGTGGTGTCTGTAAACATTAATACATCCACATGAAAAAGGTTTTTGGTAATAAAATATTTAATGACCATTAATTCTTATTTGAGAAAGAAAATATACAGTTTGGAGAAGTAGCTTTATGCATTAGATTGTTTAAAGAATGAGAAATAATTGGATGTTCTGAACTGATGATATGACTTGGTGGTAGAACAATAGCATGAAAACAAATTAGAAAAAAACACGAACTTTAACTGATTCAAACCTATTTCCCGGTTTTTGTTTATTGACTTTAATAGTCTGACGTCTGTTCTAAAGTTCTTGGCGAATGATTTCTAGATTGTTTCTATTGACACATGTAATCCACATGTGAAAAAATAAGTTTAATACAAAAAAATTAGACATGAAGATAGAAAAACGATTATTTATTTCTTTGTTGAAATTATAGATAACGCAATATTATTGACTGAATTGTTTACGCTTCATACCTGTCCTGCTGATTCAGGGAATGACTCCGCTTGATCCATACTTTCATTGACGTTTTGACTTCTAGGATTGTTCGCCAATGACTGTTGGATGTGTGCTCTTAAAGTCTGTTAACAGTAGTACATGTATACATGAGGAACAAACTAAGTTTTTAAAAGGTAGATTTTGGAATAAATAGGCTCAAAAGATTAATTTTCATTTGAAGAAAAAAAAATCATTATGCAATATTGCAGACTGAATTATATGAACGGAGCAGGAATAAATCTAATTACCTCTCCTTCGTTTGATTCTGGTTTGTTTTCCGGTGGAGGCATTCTTTTATTAACTGTTTGACTTCTGTTATCGTTATTCACCAATATTTGCTTGATTTGTAATCTTAAAGGCTGCAAACGGCAAAACAGGTACACTAAGTTTGGTTAAGTAGGATTTGATATAAATATGGTCAGATTCATTATTTCCTTTGAAAAAGAAAGATAAATTTTGAACACAATATTTCAACGACTTATTTGCGCAGATAAAAAAAATTCTTCATACCTCTCCTGTTAAAGCAAGGATGTTCTCCGGTTGATCCATACTTTCATTTACTGTTTGACTTCTGTTAAGGTTGTTCACTAATGATTGCCTTGATTGCGTTCCTGACTTCTGAAAATGATGTGAGGAAATCTAATTACTTATCTGATAATTGAGTTAAGATTTTCTTACGAAAGAGAAACACCAGACTGTGTGAAGGATTCATGTTTTTTAAACACAGAGGATTTAGCAATTGAATAAAAATTCAATTTGAAGGATTGCAAATATCACTGAAACATTTATAGCAACTACTCTAACCAAAATCTTTTTTGTTAGTTTTTTTCTTCTTCAAATACACTCTGTTTGATGATCAGATGTAGACTATAGAAGTAGTGGTACGGCCGTCAAAGAAACCCATATCATAAAATACACCATCCACGATAGCAATGATTTTAAGACGCTCTTTTTAACAAACAGAAACCGTTGAATTCATTGTGTCGTAATTTTAAAAGCGGAGTGATTTCATAGTATAAACCTGGATATGGGCAATAAACATGCAAGACCACACACTTGTATTTTTCAAACGAATCAGAAAGCACGAGTTCATTGCGCGGACGAATATATTGACGCGTGCGCGGAGCCCACGAGTCAATACATACGTCCGCGAAATAAATGAGTGCTTTCTGTTTCCTTAAAAAAAACACAAATATATTGTCTTGCTTTTATCACATTCCTTTCGTATTTGGTAGAGATCGATACAAAGATTTTATAAACTTTTCAGTTCCCCATGACAAGGGGATTACCATAAAAACTAGTTCCGGCTAGTAGGTAAATACAACATTCCGTATTGCACATGTGAAATACAGAACGTTGTATTTCATGGTCTGAAAATTGCTTGTATTACTATAACAAGATTCAACAGGTATGTGGTAAAATGTACTAGATATACAGGTAGATGTTTGGGCAAGTATCCAAATATGCAACATCCGAGCTCGATAGGCAATAAACAAAGACAATAAATAGTTTCAAGTATTTACCTCCCGTTGTAATCGTTGTTGGTTCATCTTCCTAAAATGATAAGCATGTTCATAGTTGAGTATTTGTATCTTAGATGATGTAGAGAAAATATGTTATGTAACCATTAGAACCATTACGTTAATTAACCATTAAAACCATTACGTCAATTAATCATTAGAACCATTACGTTAAAAAACCATTAGAACCATTCCGTCAATTAACCATTAGAACCACTACGTTAATTAACATTAGAACCATTACCTCGATTGCGATAATAACGTTGAAATAACATTTTCTTTGCTATTTTGAACGTGAAGATAAGGATTAAAATGCGTAATTTGGTCATTTATGATGGTATGCAACATAGCTCTGATCAAACAAATTTCTTAATATGCGCCACGTTATTACCGTAGTGGTTCTTTTGTTATTGGATTGTAAAACAAAACATGTTCTGTTGGTAGGTTTATGTTAGGTCTGTACAAAGGCAATGTGAATATAATCAAATAAGCCTTACTCTTTCAATATACAACGCTGTTTTCATTTGAGAATTATGATAGCATATTTCAAAGGTGCGCTGCCGCGCATTATGGAATATGTTTGAACGAAGCTGTGCTGCATACTTTTAATGATAAAAAATGCATTTCATTCTTTAAATATTATTGGATTTTCAAAACTAATAAAAGAAAGTGAAAATTTCTGCACGCAAACATGACAATTTATTATTGATCAGGATTGTTTTTATAATAAAAGACTTATTACACAGACAAATCATACATACATTTTCCTGTACTTTCGTCTTTTTTCTTCCTCGACATCTTCGGTCTCTTCTTCCTCCTCTATGTCACAACGACTACGAAATGTATAGAGAACATAGATTGAATATAATAATGGCATGATTATAAGAACGAATTTTACCACTGATTATTGGTTTATGGCAGTCCTTGTATACCTACGATCTTTCCACGCAATATATTTGCCCACAGAAGACATTAGGGTTATTTTTATTTAATATTTACACACTTTTATAGTAGATACTACACTTACAATATATAATCAGAAATACATTTACTACTTACTTGTATTGGGGGTCTTCATTATTGCGACAATACCATTTTAAGGGGAGATCTTCTGCTTGTACTCCATTGCGCAGGCGCCGCCATTTATTGCAGTTATCACACTGGACCCAATTGCCAAAGGGCTCATCATTGTTTTTCAGCGTATCCTCCCTACAATACCACCAGGTACCAGTTTCAACAATAAACAAATCGGATTTACTTATTTACTTATACATTATTATCAACCATAACATGCATCCCATATCTAAGTGCTTGATTCTAAGAAACTGTCAATTTTCTTTCATGGTACACGTAGTTTGGACTATTTCAATTGTTTGATGAAACATTTGAAAATCACAAAGGAACACAATCGCGAATTGAACAATGTTTACGATGTTATAAACTTCTAATACAATTCAAAGGTATTATCTGGTAAGTAGTAAATATACTTAGATTTGTCAAAGTTATATCCAGTTCAAGTATGAAAATATTATCTATTGATAAATTATTTGAAGTTCACATATAATAAATGGACAAATTTCTACGATATAGTTTTCCATTATTTTGAAAGCAACAGGATTTACCACAAACAATTAAAAAACACTGTATTTTTTGCTTTTATTTGTAGTAAATTAAACATTTAATTTCCATGCAATAATTTCTTTATTTTTGTCAATTATTTATCTAACTTGAAAATATATAGACATATCTTTCTTCTAGGGTTGACTTACATGTCGACAGCATTGCCTTTTTTCACGTTCCAATAATCTCTCAGTTTTTTTGATATATTATCCATTAAGGTGCTGAAACACAGAATTTGACAAAAGGATCATACAAAGCCGCATGTCGGATATAACGCATATACTGTGCATATTGGTCTTTATATTAATTTGTTGAATTTGAACAGTTTATGCTTCATTTTTTAGTGTCATATGAATTTAACGAAAATTACGTAAATTGTACTTCCTTGTTCATGTGTAGAATAGCTAAAACATATTTGAAAAAAACCCTAAACATTTAAATTCTTCTTCTTGATTTTAGCATAGACACCGAAGGGAAGAGCGCAATCTTCATCTCGACTGAAAATATCACACATTGGTTCTCCTGAACGTGGTATGCTTCAGTTTCCACATAAAAACGTTCTTATGCATTGTTTTTGTAATATATTAACATCAAGCTTACAATTCTGATTATACTTTTCCATATGCATTACACGGAATCGAAAATAAGATTCCCTATCACTCAGAAAAAATTACCTGTATTTGGCATCACGGATGAAGTCCTGTTTGTTGTTTATGACTTCAAGAGCGTCGGCCTCCACCACAGCAATCACATCATTTCCAAAGCCGTTTGTCTGTAAACAAAATCACAACAATGACATAAATACCAACGCCGTCTGACTGTAACACAGGACACAGTGATCACACCAGTAATACTATCTCATCAGTGTAGACAGACATACTGATTACACCAATACCAACGCCGTCTGACTGTAACACAGGACACAGTGATCAAACCAGTAATACTATCTCATCAGTGTAGACAGACATACTGATTACACCAATACCAACGCCGTCTGACTGTAACACAGGGCACAGTGATCAAACCAGTAATACCATTTGATCAGTGTAGACAGACATACTGATTACATCAATACCAACGCCGTCTGACTGTAACACAGGACACAGTGATCAAACCAGTAATACTATCTCATCAGTGTAGACAGACATACTGATTACACCAATACCAACGCCGTCTGACTGTAACACAGGGCACAGTGATCACACCAGTAATAACATTTGATCAGTGTAGACAGACATACTGATTACATCAATACCAACGCCGTCTGACTGTAACACAGGACACAGTGATCAAACCAGTAATACTATCTCATCAGTGTAGACAGACATACTGATTACACCAATACCAACGCCGTCTGACTGTAACACAGGACACAGTGATCAAACCAGTAATACTATCTCATCAGTGTAGACAGACATACTGATTACACCAATACCAACACCGTCTGACTGTAACACGGGAGACAGTTATCACACCAGTAATAACATCTGATCATTGTAGACAGACATACTGATTATAATAATAACGCCGTCTGACTGTAACAGATGGCACAGTGATCACACCAGTAATAACATATCATCAGTGTAGACAGACATACTGATTACACCAATACCAACACGTCTGACTGTAACACGGGACACAGTGATCAAACCAGTAATAACATCTCATCAGTGTAGACATATTGATTACACCAATAACAGCACCTAGGGAGGGTAGACAGACATATTGATTACACCAGTACCAACACCTGGTGAGTGTAGATATACATATTGATTACACCAGTACCAACACCTGGTGTGTGTAGACAGACATATTGATTACACCAATAACATCCCCTAGTGAGTGTATACAGGCATATTGATTACACCAGTACCAACACCTGGTGTGGGTAGACAGACATATTGATTACACCAAAACAAGCGTCGTCTGAATAAATAAAACAGCACACAGTGAACAGATCACACCAGTATTAACACCTGATAAGTGTAGACAGACATATTTATTGATTACACCAGTAATTATACCTGATGTGTGTAGACATACATATATATTGATTACACCAGTTCCTGCAACTGATGAGTGTAGACACGTCATCACTTTGTGTAGCGTTACCAGAGTACAGCACTAATACAATATATTTTAACGGTAAGAAAACACGGAAATATTTGTTAATAGTCAGATTTCGGTTTTTGTAAAATCATACAAAAATTCTGCTGTATCTACGACACAAATGAAGTATTTTTATTTCATTAGCAAATAAATAAAGAATATGGTCATTGAAGACCTGGAAAGAACACAAATACTGTGTAAAGAATTTTTATACATTTTTACATGGTGGTGGCCATTTTGACGGAATGAAATACATTAAAACGTAAGATTAAATGTAAGTTTTTCGTAACGACATGAAATATGGCATCAAATGTCGCGTAGATGTCACGTCATTACACTTAGTAGACCGAGGAAATCAGGTGAGAGATGGCCGAATCTTTTATTTGACCTTGACCTGGACAGATTTTTCTTATGTATTGATCGAGACATCAATGCCGACATTAGCGAAAGATAAGATATGTTTCTCGTTCGGGTTTCATAACTTGCGTCTTCAAAACTTATTTTTTAATACGTTTATGTGATAAAAGTGGCATAAAACAACATGTAACGTAAGACATTGTTTGGAATTTTGGAATACAGATACTAGCAAAGGCTTTGGTTTCTCTTGACCAGGTCTTCTCCCGCGGATCACGACTAATGTTAACAAACAACAGGGAGGAGTGTTAATCAAAAGCGTTGTCTGCAAGTTAGGTTTGCATTGATAAAATAGAACCGTTATAGACTTGGCACTCGAGAAGCAGCAATTTTATGCTCAATTTCAGACAAACCATTTCCCTCTGCGTTTAGTCTCCGGGGACAGGTTGCCTTTTTTAGACAATAAATTTCCCCATAGTCATTACAACTGTACAATATTATCTTCATGATGTGTAATGCACAGTGGTAAACGACGGTCATTTGAACAATTAAGAGGAAATAACACTTCTCTTTCCTGCTACATATATCCATTAATACAGTAGTTATGCTCAGTGTTACCTGTTTTTGGCATCCTAGTTTCTCATAGGCTAGTATCAGGCGGTTGTAGTGGTACAGCATCACTCCATAATCGTCAAAACGCGTCGACGCAAATCCAAATGTAATTGGAATTTTATTTGGCTTTGTATAACTAAGAAAAAGGTAGTTATAGCACTGCTTCGTGTAGTTATTTCGTTGCCTTTTATTTAAACTTGTTTTTAAGATAAAATTCTTATCGTCCTAGTCTAAGAATCATTTTATGAAACGTTGGTAAAATTTGTAGTTTTCACTCCATGACCCCTTATAGATCCTGAGCCCCTTTCAGCTCCTTCTTTAGAACAAATTCTAATCAATATCTGATGTAAAGCCATTTCAAATGTTTCAAATGTATGGCCACTTATAGTCCCATCCCTTAGTTCCTTGAGGATGCCAGCACTTTCCGAGTATAGACCTGTTTCACTGCATCTAAGGATATTATTTTGAAAATGGTGTTTAAATAAACTTTCTACTTCCGGAAGAGTGACCGCATATCGATGATAGCCATTAGGTTTACATTTACATTTTAAAGTACGAGGTGGAAGAATCTGATGGTGGGTTTCTTAGTCCAAGAAGCTTGACGCGTTATTGACCACGCTATTTTTCCATCATAATTAGTCACAAATGTTAATATAGTACCAGAAAATATTATCATGGATTTGCTTTTAGTCCATTGGTAATCTTCCGAACAATACAAACACTGTCCCAAATCACTATTTTACCTTTTGACCCTTATCATTTTCAAATGAGCAATGTGCGCAATAAGTCGCTAACATAATTTAAAATGGAAAGGATACAGCCCACGAAGGTTTGTAGGTGTCTTCTTGACTCCTTCTGAGAGACTTTCGGATAAGCAGCGTCCTCACCTTCTTTCCTTGTATCCATATCTTCATTTTTGGCTTTAGGTACAATATTTTGCAATATTCCTGAAACAAACAACTAGATTGAAATAAATATATTCAAAACACGGAGAACGGTAATACTGCCGTATCGTTATTACGTAACTAAATAATAACATCATTGGTGACGTCACGATTGAAAATGTTTGAGCATAACAGACTACATCACGATTATATCTGTAAAATATTTGAAGATGCAAATGAAAGCGTTTATGTTTTATTAACATTTCTCCGTGTTTCTTAGTGTTCAACCTAAAATCTACTGGTCACTGATACTTCTTTATACAACTCTATTATATATATGTATATGTCTATTTATTCGTGTTTACGTTTAAACATTTAATCCCAATACAAACATCAAGAAACATCTTACAACTGTTTTATAAATGTAATTCATGTATACACGCTTTAACTAACTGTTAATGACTTCTCTCATGTTAATAAATAACAATATGAACTTATCGGAAGACAAACAATAGTAACAAATACAGAATAGGCACACAGGTTATATCAGTTAATTTCTTCATTAGGTAAATAAACAGTTCCTTGAGACAGGAATCAACACATATTGCATTTTTCATTAAGGATGTCTTTTAAACATCTTTAATATTTTATATTATTTTTTCCAAAAAACATAAAGAATATTTTATTGATTAGAAAGTAACGCATTTACATGTCAACAACAAATGTGTGATTATTAGCCTGCTCGAAAATCAAGTTTATTAAAGATTGCTGTTAATATAATGTATCAGTTGAAGATGCGTGTTGATTAGAGATAAAAAAAAAAAAAAAGACTAAAGTAATATGTCCGCAAAAAGCACGATAATGTGAAAAAAGGATAAACATATGTGTAGAAAGATGCATTACCCTTTCGGATAATTGGCATCAGTTGAGAAACGATATGTAAAGTATGCATGGTAATTGACCAACCCTGAGTGACACCATATAACGACGTTTCTGATGGTTAGTGATGGTGGCGGTTTCTTCTGCATTGGTGTCTTTCAGGTGTGTATCGGGATCTCTGATATCTGACGGGTCACTTTGAAAATCCAACTCCAACATTTCACCTGACCTTAAAAAGGGAAAACAGACATGTTTATTTAAACAGTTAGTAGCTTAAATTGATGCTTATATAAATATCGAAATATCATTAAGTATTATTATAATTCTACTTACATTTTGCTAAGGATCAGCCATATTTTGAAGAAAAAAATCGAAATGTTAGAAAGAATATTATATTTTCTTTCGGTACTGTTTTGGGCGAATATGTTAGCCTTCCAAATCGTCCTGTGTGAGTGTGTTCAGTCAACCATAAAAGCGCGTGCACGCTTTTCCACGTGTTCACCCCTTTCAAAAGCTAATCTTGCCTAAGTAAGGAGTTGTTCAAATTTTTAAGGAAATCAATTTGATGAATATTCTTTGCATTTTTTTGTTTTAATATGGCACAAACACGAACCAGACAACGGTTAAATGACGGTGAAATGAATAGGGGCATCGGAATGCTGCAAGCTAGCATGGCTCAACGTCAGGTTGCAGCAGACCTTGGTGTGTCTCAAAGTGTGATGGCAAGAATGTGCAAGCATTTCCAAACTAACGGAAACCCTCCCAGACGTCATGCAGGAAGTGGTTCTAGGGCGTTACGAAATGACCTCCTAAATGCTTCTGGTACCTGGTGTAACGCCACTATGTTAACGTTGTTTATATTCAGGACCATCTTTAATTGTTATTGTGTTCCCCAGCATCGTTGGCTCGTTCTGTTAAATCGGACTTTAGTACTACCGACACATGGCGATTTTAGACGTGCGTCTAGCATTTTAGTTTCCAATAATAACGTACTTTATAATAGTTGTCAATGAGAATCGCGGTAATTAAACATTTACATATATCATAGTTTAGTCGCATCTATAAGGATTACCTGGTCAGTCGTCATTTAGTCGTGTAGTTTGTCATTTTCAGTCGATCTTGTTCATATGTTTAATTTCGACAACATGTTGTTCTCCGGTAATGCAGTGCGCATGTCCGAGGCCGGAAGTTTACATTTTCACATTGTGTGCATGTCAACCAATCATATTAGAGTCCCGGCACGTGAATTTCTCGGGACGGTGTCCCGTTATTTTCGGGACTATTGCTAAACATCGGCAGTCACGACTCAGCAGCCGGTGAGTACACACGGTTTTAAGATCTCGGAACCGCTTACCAGGTTCGAGCGTGATTCACTTCCTATTTTTCCTAGGGATATAGCCTATTGTCATTTAATCTATCTATCAAACTATTTTTAGAAGGGATTTCCCTGTAATCGCTTATGGTAAAGTGACGTCAAAGTCGTATAAAATGTAGGTCAATGTTTACATTAGAAACCGTAACGAACTTCAGTCAGATATAATTCCTACTGCTAGAATTGAAACAAATAAGGTTTATTGTTGATATCTATATGTCAGATTTACTTTATAAGTCAGAATAATAGTGAAACTGAGCTATATTGGAAGTTTTAGTGTATATATGTACAGAACAAGAGTGAGATACGTTGATATGGACTTGTATTAACCTTGCAACTGTCATGCTCGTATGGCTCCAGTACTCCTATGTATATAAATAAACATTATAGAACTGTTCATTTGGCGTTTGTTCACTGTCACTGAGTGGGTTCAAAGTAGTATCCAGTTTAGAGTAGCCTTGCTTACCAGAGGCTGAAGAGACCCCATCATAGGCCTTGATAGAGATAGACCCGACCACGTTACACTGGGAAGCCACTCAGACAGTTAGGAACCGTCTTCGTGATGATGGTTTAAGGTCACGTAGACCAACAATACGAGTTCCCTTCACTGCCCGTCATGTTAGGGACCGACTAGATTGGGCCCTAGCTCACAGCACTTGGACTCTTTAGGGAACCGGTTCTTTTTACTGACGAGTCCAGATTCTGTCTCGACTTCACCGACAGGCGCGTTAGAGTATGAAGACAACCTGGGAAGAGTTTTCAGGCAGGTAACGTTTTGGAACATGACCGATATGGCGGAGGTTCAGTTATGGTGTGGGGAGGCATAAGCCTTCGTGGGAAAACTGAGCTCCATGTCTTCCATAATGGTACCGTTACGGCTCGGATTTACTGCGATGAAATCCTTGTTGCCTATGTCAGACCCTACGATGGCGCTATCGGCCCTGACCTCATCTTTATGGACGATAATGCTAGGCCACACAGAGCAAGGGTGACTGATCAGTATCTACAGCAAGAGACTATTCAACGAATGGATTGACACCGACCATGTGTGGGACATGCTGCAGACAGCTCTCATTGCCAGAAATGTTTAGCCAAGAACGGCCCCAGGAGCTTGGAACAGCTTTGGTAGCCGAGTGGAACGCTATCCAACAAAACCGGATATGCGATCTCATTCGGGGCATTCGCATGTTTTTTTAAATAATCTTAGTATAAACCAAATGAAATATATATTTTCACATATGCCCAAAAATAAAAGTGATCCTTAGCAAAAAGTGAGTAGTATATTATTTTTATATACATAGTGATGCATGCTCACCTGCAATTAAGATTGTATATGATAATTGTTGTCCCACCAGTCCTTTCAATATCAGCCAGCTCTATCAATAAGTCCGCTTCAGTTTTAAATATTGAAGAATGTTTCAGGATAGCATCCAGACTGGCGGTCACACTTGGATCGAGACGTTTCGTTTCTGTGGTATGTGAAGGGTAAACAATAGCTTCGATTGATAATCATAATTGCCATTGGACTACCTTATTTGATGAACAATAACGAATGCTAAATCACATAACGAATTAAGCTTACGGACAATAACGAATTAAAACCATGTAACGAATCTAGCCATTGTCGAAATAATCTCTTTGGCTCTGTTAAAAATGAACAATTGCAACATTTATATTCCTAAGAAATCTGTGTTTCCCATTATCATTCAAAACATGTGTTATGTTCAGTACAAAAGTAAGTTGATAAGTAATCAGGTTAGCGGGAGCAAATCGTTTCTTTTTCATATCATGTAATTTAGTTTCAAAAGTGGCTCTTAAAAAAGAAACAAAGAAATCATAACATCGCATGGAAAAATCATTTGTTATACGGTGTTATCCAAACGCCGATTAACTAAATTTGGTATATTTTATGACTTCATGTTGAAAAAATTGTAATAGCTTTTGTTTTATTGACTTACAATAATCCAAAGGAAATGCTTCAGGCAGGAAAATACTTAGTTACTTTTAACCGAGATACTGTATAGCATTGCATGCAATACACATAGTTATTATGGTATCCTGGTATGGTATTCGACCTTTAGACATAAAAATATTTTAATATTATTTGTATAATGATGATCCATTAATAATAATCCGCCATAACCTCGTGAGATGCATTGCAGGATGCCATCTTTTTATTGATCAGTTCTCTGAAATAAATAAAGTATTTTGCTCTTTGATTCCAAAAAGGATACTGTCAGATAGGTTCCATGTGACAATGGGCACACGTACAGTCTCTGCATTGATGTTGTTGAGATAGGTTTGTGACAGGAGACCCACACTCATGGTGGTCACTTGACGGGTAAACACTATGGCGTCTTTACCCAGGCGCATTGCGCCAGACTTGAAACCGTTGCCATATCGTCCAATAGCCTGATGACGTGGGGTGGCAAACTTTTCCTTATCATTAAATCCAAAGCTATTTAAATCAAAGATAAAGAATTGTTATATCTTTTATCTCTTTCTCTCTTAAGGAATGAATGAAAAGTACCAAAATTGTTTGTAGTTGTACTTCAATTTCTTTAATGATCCATACGTATGTATAAAAAAATATTATTACTACCAGTTGGCAATTATAACTAGCTGTATAACATCAGGTTGACTTACAGGGTAACTTAACAAAATCGCCGATGAAAGTCAATCAATATTTAAAATAATATTTACAAATGTGCTTAGAGTATACAAATAACCAGTTTTATCAGAAAAACATCATATTGATATATATGTCATCAAAGAACGGGCCTACAAGTTTGTAATGTATGAATGTGTACTGATTGCGGTGTATTATGTGATTTGCCGCGTTGCGATAGCTAGGATCGGATGCCGACCTTATAGTATTACCAGACTGAAATACCATTCCGAAGGCACCAATCACATATTCCATCAGGTCACATTACACTACCAACGGGTAAACCAGTTGTCGCGATTACCCTTACTACTGAACGACTAACAGGGAATAACCACTACCTTTGTAAGGGCTTTGTTACGTTCAGTCCTGGAGACAGAATCGATAACCTTCCTCACCTGGGCAAACGTTCCACACTAAGGCCAAAAGTAAAGGATTGCCAAGGAAGGGACTCGAGCATGTTCAAGAGGCAGCTAATGTGGGAATCCTAATGTGGGAATCCTAATGTGGGATTCCCTCTGCAGATTTGAATATTTGCTTTTTAGCCCTCTGCTTGGAGACACAAAACTGACCAATCCATTGAAACATTTGCGATCTTTTAAGAATTTAGAAATGCTCTCTACTTTCTAACGACCTGTTTGTTCCCTAGGTACATAGGTAACAGCAGGTATATTTTTTTCTCAAACTTCGACCTGAAGGGGTGGCAAACAAGGGGTGGTTAATGTGTCTGGTAAAAGGTATATTAATGAAGTGATGTATGTTTTTATTATAGTAATTACTTCATTTATTTGTATAACAGCACGATAAAGACAAAATGGTAAAACAGAATTACCTCATCATATTGTGAAGAGTCTCTGGAGTCATGCCATTTCCATTGTCCACGAACGTGAGACAAACTTTGCCTTGAATTTGTCGTTTGCTAATCCGAAGTTCCTTAGCTTTCACATCAGGGTCATATGCGTTGTCTGAACATTAGCAATGCATTAAAAACCCCAATTTCTCCAATTAAGTGATACGGATTAATAATGGTACTGTCTCTAAGCTATGAAATGATGACTTCATACTACAGGGACAATTTACAAAGGCTATTCATTTTTCTCTTAAATGAGCTTTCATATAAACAAATAAACAATTAAGACTAATAATAATATTTAATGAAAATAATAAATAAATATTTTAACTGTGATTTTAGAGTTATAATTGTTGCTAATCATCTTCTTTACTTAAATTCTCACATCATTATAAGATCATTTATCTGAGTGCTGTTTTACATATTGTGGTCTATTTCACTTGTTTAAATATGAACATTGGAAAGTATGTCTAAATGTGTAAACGCATGGGTTACATTGAATATTATTATATCATTATACTAAAAACTTGCATCATTAGAATATACATAATGTTTGCTTTAAAATAATGTTTGTCTTGTTAATGCCTGATAGTTTGTTGTGCTAGTTTGTAGCAACCTTTACTCAGAGTTAATTAATGCCTGATAGTTTGTTGTGCTAGTTTGTAGCAACCTTTAATCAGAGTTGTCGTTCCTTACACTCACATTGTGTAAGTTAGTGTAAGGTACGATAACTCGGAGAAGTGATAGAGTCTGTAAATGAATATTAATTGTTTGTGATAGGCATGTATTACCTTCATTCAGTTCGTCACTGATGAATTTTAGTTGTTTAATTGTGCTGTGGGTGACGGGAATATCCTGTCTTTGCGGAGTCTATATATGTGGTGTTTGTCTCTGATAGAATTAATAATTAATAATAATTCGAGGTTTTTGTGTACCGCTTTATCACAACCTAGTTCGTAGGTCGTCTCAAAGCAGTTCACAAACTATTATCCGTGGTTATAGTGCCTTTGCAACCAGCCAATACCTTTCTCACTGAGGAGCATACAGCCGGAGCTGCCATTTCGGCGCTAACGGCAAGCATTCAACAATTCTAGCACTGCCCGCCCCGTACTCATTTACAGCTGAGTAGCCTTGAACAAGCAGAGTAAAGTAACTTGCTTAAAGATACAACACAGTGCCGTGACGTGACTCGAACCCGCAACCCTTCGGCCACGAGCCCGCCTTCCTACCACTAGACTATCGTGCCTCCCAATGATAGATATAATTTTTTGATAAAACGACTGAGAAACCTATACCAAATTAGAACCTTCCAAAACCAGCATCAACTACATGCATGTTATACCGTAGTTATATCTAACGTTAGCTGCTGTAAGAAGACATTCAAATACCTATTAGTTCAGCAATCGCACTAAAGGCCCAGGTGTGGATAGTTGCATTAGTGCTCAGGTATCTAGGATGGATCTGAAACACATACATTGATTTTCTTTACAAATCATCATCCAGGATTTTGTTGATTAGTTGAATAATAATTGGCTTCACTTGGTATCAACAAACAAACGAAGATTTCTTATTATTTTTCTGTGACTAGTATGTAGATACAAGATTCAAGAAACTGTTTTATCGTATATAAATATAACATGAAATGTAAGCTCTTAACATATGAAAATATCACAGTTGTCAGAGATATACCAAAACATGCATTAAGTAGCAAAAAGCACGATAATTGTAACTAAAAATAGACATGGCTAGAAACATAAAGAAAATAAAGCATGCTGATTAGAGTTACATCATAGAATTTCATCGAATAATAAAACGCACTTTAGAGTATATTACGTGAAATTTGATTTACATTTTGTTACAACAGTACACTTTCAGAAGTTTAGCCACCAATGAACGCACTAATTCGGGCTGAGTCGCTAACAAATAAACTGTGTAAGGCTGCAATCATGAACAATGCATAAATAATAAAGCGGAACTGGATTGGGTTTATCTTCGGCAACCAGGTAGCTAAACTGGTTAGAGCGTCCATCTTGAATTCGGAAGTCCTGGGTTCGAATGCCTGAATGGCTATACATTTTTCCTTTCCTGTTACAATTATCATGTAAAAAATGTTTTAGCCTGCACAAACGATTACTGTCTATGAATTTGCATCTGGATACTTAAGTATGTATTTCTAGCAATCAAGTGCTATTACTATCTGTATTGAACATTTCTTATGGTAGAACAGCTTGTTTGATATCAGTCTGCAACGAAAATCTGGAACCTTCAATGTCGATTTCAGAGCTATCTCTGGATGAACTGCGAATCTTTCAAATTTAAGATTACTGTCAATTATCCGTATTGACTACGGTTGAAGAATGCATCATTATTGAAACTCTTTTGAACCAGTTCTGACGTCAGCAAGGGCTTTCGTTTGACCACATTTTCACAAAAATAAAGAGTTTGGCCTATGTTTTTATCTGGCAGGTAAAGGTATCAAAATAAGTTAACAGGACCCGTAAAACAGGTCCTTGATTGTTAAGAGAGGAAAACTTCTAGCAGTTTCATCTTCAAAACGTTTTTTTCAGATTCACTTTTGCGCAGATACCTTTAGTAGCACTTCGGACAAATACTAACTTCTTCATTTGAACTTAATATATGCCACTTTTAGTCAGTATAACCAAAAGCCATTTATATTATGGATATTGTTTACCTTTACATTTACGAGACTTTCACTCTTTACTATTACTTACATTTACTCTTCATTATAAGATGAATATTTACAAATGAGTATGCAATGTCCCCTAAAAGCAATGTAAACGAAAGTGTGATGATAAAATGTATAAGTTGTTACATTTGAACTTAAAATTGATTGGTAACAAGAATTTTATCAATCACGCCAAGTGATGAGGCATATTTGAATTTGGAATTTGTTGTGGCCTAATATGCACTAAATGGTTTATTGTATGCTTGCAACGAATTTCATTACCAATTACCTGTAATCAGGTACATTGCTATTTGGTGGACGCCAGGGCGGTGTCTTATGTCCTCTCCTTTTTTTGGGTACATAGGGTACTTTGTTGTGCGAAATGTATACTTTCCGCCACTTTTGTGGTCTGAATTTTTGCATACATATTTGAAATAACACCACTTTTTCATACTATGAAAAAATATGTTACACAAAAATAATAAGAACGAAAAATTCTATATTTTACATTAAAATGTTCCGAAA